GTGTGTGTGTGTGTGTGTGTGTGTTTTCAATGTGTGTGCCTTCATAATAATATTTTCTGAATTTTTATGTTTCCTCTCATGTTTTTTTAACTCAGAAATTTAAAAGGGTCATGAGCTATGTCAAAATGCCGTTTTAGTGCTTTTGAATTCTTATTAAAGTTGTCCAAAGAGCTGGCTTTTACCTAAATCATACGTATTTTACTAGAAAACTTGATAATTGTTCTATAACTCTTTGGAATTTTTTTCCATTGGTTTAAGGAAATTTTCATTCTTATAATGGCCCTTTGAAATTATGCAAAAGACTGAGCTCAATAATTGAAGAGACCATAGTTTGGTATGCTTGGGAGAACCTTTTACAATATTTATTTTCAGATTATTTATTTTTCAAAAATTTGGAGTTTTCTTTTTTGCATTTGTGCTTTTCTGTTTCTAAGACAAACATTGTTCGGTCTCACCTTAAGGTGATTTTTTAAGTCAAGTTGAGGATCTTAAATATCTCGGGTGAAGGCTTGGCGTTGCTCAAAAGAGCTTAACCCGTTACATAGTGTTACATACCCACCCACACATATCTCATTGGTTATGAGCTCCTCGTAACACATATCCATAACCATATTATGCAGAGATATGGGCAGGGGAGAGGACCCATTAACTGCTGCCAGATGATTGTCATATCAAACCTTGGCCAAATATAATAATAAATAAACACAAATAAATTTTGTTGGCATATATTTTTACTCTTCTTGTGAATAATTTTCTATTTTTAGAGACCTAAAAAGAAAAAAAGTTAAATTTTAAAAATTGTTTGGACAATAATTTTGTAAAAATTGAGGTACAAAAAGTCGAATTTACTTGGAAAATGGCTCTTGGAATTGGCCTTTGATGGCTTGATGCTATGAGCCTGGAACATTGGCTCTTAATGGTTTGACCAACTTGACTATTTATGCAGATTTAGAACCCTCTATAGAGCAATGAAGCAACCACCACATTAAACGGAACTTGAGACACTGGTTCTCCTCCCGGGATGTTTCATCCTGATGATGCTGAAGAATTTGGTTGTTGGTGGCAGTTGCCGGTGGTAGTCTCAGGAGGTGGAGTACTCGCTGGTGGAGGATTTTATCGTTCGGAGGAGGAGCACTTGGTGGGGTATTTTCAAAGGGTGAAGTGCAGAAAACACCCCTAATATATACTTTCTGTAGCACTTTTACTTATTTGAAAAAGCGTGCAGAAAACACCTCTATTCTTTTCACATTGTGTGAAAACACCCTCAAGAGTAAATCTCACAAAAAATTATATTGTAATGCCCACTTTACCCTTTTACTATTCCAAAAATGCCCAAGCGGTGTTTTATGCCCTTTACCTATATATATATGCACCCCATTATAATAGTAGTTGATTTAGTCTTTGCACATTCCATACTAAACAAAAGGGTTTCAAGATTTTATCATGTGTATATATATATATATGCGCGCCAGTATAATAGTAGTTGGTTTAGTCTTTGCACATTCCAATTCAGAACAATTTGACTTCATTAATTAAAAGGGTTTCAAGATTTTATCATCATCATCATGTCATTGGAAGAACTATTGCAATTAATTAATACAATGTCTTTAACAATTTGTAAATTGAGCCAAAATCCATGAAATAATTCATGGTGCAGATCAGTAATTATTCTTACCATAATCACAATAAGGGTTTTGATACCCAAAATTGAAAACTCAGATCGCTAACATGTCGTCGGAGTCGAAGAGGACCAAACTTAGGAAAATGTTGGCGGAGGCAGGGGTCATCTCTTAATCACTTCCTAATCGTCGTCGCAGAAACCACCACTACCCCAGTGGACTCACTAGGGCTTCTACAGACGGTGGGTCATTGTCTTTGTCGATGTTGTAGAAGAGGAAGAGGCTGATGCGGCTCGATATTCTAATTGCTGCTTTGGTGGCAATTGTCTGACGACGTCGTCTGCAGCTAAGGAGGCAGTGGAGGGAGAGGGAGGAGAGAGTTCATCTTTGGAGACGGAGGAGGATGATGATGATGATGAAGAAGAAGAATTAGGGAAACCTTGAGCTGTTGATTCCATGGGGTTAGGGTTTGGGTTGCTTGGGTCTTGAAAACAAACATTGATTACTTGAAATCACATTATATTTTTTTTCCTATTATGTCATTTCACAAAGTAATATATTTTTATATATTTTATAGAATTACTTAGTGAGGGCAATTTAGTCAAGTATAGTTTAAATATGTCAAAATTGATCTATTTGCACAAATTGAAAGCTATAAGGGTGTTTTCTGCACATGAGGGATGTGATATGCACTATAAACATGCTATAGGAGTGTTTTTTGCACTTGACTCATTTTCAAATTGTGGTGGTGGAGCACTCCATGTGGGATTTTGAGATTCCAGTGTTGCAGCACTCTTTGGTGGCGGATTAACGGCCAAAACATGATTTAGAAATGCATGATGAGTTTTATTTGATAAATAGAACAAATATTTTTCTAAATTTGAGAACTAACTTGTGATAATATGCAAAGCATTTATCTTATTAGATTTAAGTTAAATATCAATGAAGATATTAGATAACCAGGCTCTAACCCCATTATATCTCACTAGCATTTAGAAAGATAAACTTGTGTTCTATAAAAAAAGATAGGAAACAATGTAATGAGCAATTACCGACTGGATTTTAACTTGATTCACCATTGATGTTAAGGGAGTCAAAGGTCAGTGATTAATTGCTCATGTAAATATGAGCTATATGAATTATCGTCAAATTTATTGCATAATCGAAGTCTACCAAGAGCAACACTAGGAGGAGCCCTGGGGTCGTGGAGCATGGAAAAAGAATACGTATATATGTTTTTAAGAACACTCTTCTTTGGCTTTAAACTCCAGTGAACACTTTCTTTTTTGACCTTAAATACTAATGAGTGTTCACATCTATGACCCGTACAGTAGGTTTGTGGAATCCTAACCTTTTCTATCACTCTTATATTATGTATCGTGTATTAGATATTCTGCATCATAGTGTCAAAAAGATAAATGACCTGAGAGAGTTGGTTAAAAGTGTAGCGATGAAGATCAAAAAGGACTTCCTTATCCTAGTTCCAATTGGATAGAGATAGAGTTATCTCGTAATTTTGTCATATCTAATTAATTATAATAAGCATCACAATAGTATTGTAATTGCACTATAAGATTTAGAAATTACGTCAAGGCCATGTTCTACTAAATAATTACATATAAGTTCCTCCACTATCAGATATCCATAAGTAGCCCCAAGAAAAATAAAACTGTCCCACCTAAGGCATACTTACTTGTTATATTTCTTAAGTAACCAATTTAATCCTTATGATCACTAAATTAAATTCTTTTATAAAAGAATTTTTCAAAATAAATAATAAAAAAATAATTTAGTAAACATTTTACTAAAATACCTTGGTCAGTTCCAGTGATCAAACTTATTAAATTGCATCTAGAAAATATTCTAACTCTTATAGAGTGTGGATTCCATGTTGAGCATTTGTGTTCTTACAGTTCCAACATTAGTCACCCAAGATAGTTTGGTATTGACTTTAAAAGATCTCAAATATTGGTAATTCAAAGTGACCAATACTAAAACTTAAATCCAAAACCTTAGAGGATTTAGAGCTTAATGTATCTAGTAGATAAGAATCACATCAAAATAATAACAATAAGTTGTATAGTGTGAGTAATTTGTATGGTTTGATTTTATGGTGATTCAATTCAGTGTACTCTAAGCACATTATTACTCTAACTTCAAGTCAACTACTCTAATGGTCAAGACAAACAATCATATCTCATGATGGTTTAGTGTGTTACAATATTACAGATTAAAGGGTCCAACTTTTATCATCGACTGCGAACAATGCTAAGGTGCAAGAAATGGATGAGCTTAAATCTCCTTTGCATAAATCTCATTCACACACCTATAATGCAATTTGAGAACTATGATACATCTCATGCAAATATATGTAAAACCCAATATATAAATATTATATTTACTAATAAATCACATTTATTAACAAAATATCAAATACTAAAAATAAATAATTGACTATTAAGGCACATAATCCAACAACCAAGACTCAAATTTACTAGTACAAAAGTACACCAGTGAAAAACCCAACAGTATTATTGGTCAAAGTTTGTAAATTAAGTTCATAACACTAATATTATTAATGATACAAAAAAGATGCACACACACAGGTTCTCTTATAGAGAAAGATGCTAAGGACCAATTTGGTTATGAGAATAGTTTTGAAAATCATAAACTGTATTTTATCAAAAATAAAAAATAAAAAAATTACAAAACAGTGCAAAAACTTGTTTTGCTTCTTGTACTATAGGCTATCGATTGAATGAAGTATCCAATTTTTTAAAAATTATTTTATGAAAATTAAGTTTAAAAAAATGTATCCATTTTCAGATAACTACTTCGCATGCCTTTAAAAAAAAAAAAAAAAAAAAGAACTAATTGTCATGTTTTAAGAGTGTATCTTTCTTTCAGCTTATGAATAAATAAGCGCTCTCTCTGCTCTCTCTTCATATCCTTTATTATATTTGCAATACTTGTATTATAGAGCGTATCTTTTCTCTCTCTCCTCTCTTTTCATATCCTTTATTATATTTACAATAATAGGAATTTTTTTTGGCTATTCTTTTTAAACTTTGGGCCGTTGTAGAGGTTAATGGGCCTTATTATTACTTTTCCATTGGGCTTTACCTCTAACACCCCAGTCAGCTAAAGGGACAATAATTTCTTTTTTATTTGGAAATGAGCCTAACTTACCGAGATCGAACTAGGTTTCGGGCACACTGTTCAGCATTCAAACACTCTTTGAGAATCAGAGAGAGAGAGAGAGAGAGAGAGATCAGTAGATCACTGCAAATCTATGAAGCTCCATACTTTACAGGCAAGTACTCATCTCTACACTCTTCGCTTTGATTGATAGCATATTATATGTGTATGTATCTTCAAGAAATGAGGACTATATATATCTGCAAAAGTCTCATATCACTCTCTCTCAACAATTCTTCACATCTCAACAAAACCCCAATCTCTCTTTTCTCTCTCCTCTTCTTCTCTTCCTCTCCAAAAAGCCCCAATGCGGTGGCTGATTACTTGATTGAGAGACACAAATTTTCTCTTGAAACTGCTTCGAAAGTCTCTTCCTCTCCAAGAAGCCCCAATCTGAAAAGGCCTGAAAAGATCGATTCGATTCTGTCATTTTTGCAGGAAAGTGGTTTTTCGGATACCAATGTCGAGCGTGTCATCAAACACGCGCCTCAACTTCTCTCTGCAAATCTTGAGCTTTCCATCAAACCCAAATTCAAGTTTTTTCAAGACTTGGGTATTTCTTCTAGCGGTATTGTGCAAATTGTTTCGTCTGACCCTCTGATTCTAACTCGTAGCGTTGAAAGTCATCTTGGCCCATCGATTTTAGCATTGAAGAGTGTTTTGGTTTCAAATATGGATGTGTCTAGGGTTTTAAAGAAATCTGGGTGGTTTTTCAGGTATGATATGGCGAAAACTATGATACCCAATATTGAATTTTTGAAGAGCTGTGGCATTAGTTCGTCGCAAATAACACGATGTGTCTATAATACCCCAACATTTTTCTCGAATAAACCGACGAGAGTTAGAGAATTAGTGAAGAGGGTTGATGAGATTGGGTTTGACAGGAAGTCTAAGATGTTTCTTCATGCGATTCTGGCAATTAGTTGGATGACTAAAGAGAATTGGGAGTTGAAATTGGAGGTGTTTAAGAGTTTGGGGTTTTCGGAAGATGACATTTTGTCAGTTTTTAGGAGACATCCTCAGGTATTTGCTCAGTCAGAGAGGAAAATTAAGGAGACAACACAGCTTTTGCTTAGCACGGGCAAATGTGATATCTCATATGTTGTTAATTACCCAGACTTACTTGGTTATAGTGTTGAGAATAGGCTTAAGCCACGGCTAAGAGTTGTGGAGGTTTTGGAAAGCAGGAATTTGCTTCTTAACAAGCCTAGTTTGGGGACTGTATGCAGGATCACTGAGAGGAAGTTTTTTGAGAAATATGTACTCCCATATTCAAATGAAGTTGGCGAATTATTTGTGTTTAAGAAGGCCTCATCGAAAGCATAAATATGTGCTTAAGATCATCACATCCTTTGGCACTTCATGATTGAATCTGTTTTTTTCGAAAAGCAAATGACTTGGTATAGCATGGCATGTAAGTATACTCTTTTGCGCTAGATATTCATAATTTTTCATTCTTGTACCATATGGTGCACTACTTTGAAAAACATGGCAGGCAAATAGGTACTCTTTTGCTATCTTGTATCCATATGGTGTGCTACTCTGAAAAACATGGATTAATTTTTGTTTAGTAGATTCATTTTTTGTTTCTTGTTCCTTTTCTTGCCTTGTTGATTGTTCTGCTTTCTAATTGTATCTATTTTATCACTTTTATGTTATGAAATTTATTTACTCTCCTGAAAGTAAAATTATTCATATTTTATTGCAACCCCAAGTTGGTTCATTTTGCATGCATGGAGCTAATAAATTTCATGCCCACCCAAAAGAATTGTAATTTATGAACTGGCCCAAATTTACAAATTAGAGCCCTCTAATTTCAACATTGGATCATTTAAATTTTTTTAATTTATTACCTGATAGCATTACTCTATTAAACTGATATTCTGTGTGTGACATTTCATAGATTAATCTCAATAATTGACCAAGTAAACAATCTAAATTTACAAAATTATATTAGAAATATGGACATCATAAAACTTTATGTATTTTAATTACTATTTCAAAATTTTAGTACTAGTGTGATTCGTGTCTACCTTATCATGTTTTGATTTTGGTGTCACGGAACATACATGTTCACGGTGACGGAGTCTCATTATGTGAATTAGATATCCATTAGGCTATAAAATTTTGAACCATTAAACAAAAGTGTCGCCTCACATGTATGTTCATAATAATATTTTCTGTATAATAATACTAACAAGGAAAATGATACTCCCTCTATTCATGTTTTTCTTTTTTGTCTGTCCCAAATAGTCCACTATCATTTTTCAAATAATATATTTCACATCTTTTCATATATGTCCTTTGAGTTTAAAATTTCAAGTAGGGATAGCAAAATGGGTCAGAAACTATCAACCCCCATATCCGCCCGTCTTTTAATAGTTATGGGTGAATCATTTTAATTTGAGGGTCAAGATGGGTTGAGTAATTTTTAATCACTTAATCACTTAGAATAAGTTTCTCTTTCTAAAATTCTCTTTATCATAATCCTCTCTCCAAATTTGTCTCTTATCAATTCTCTCTCTAAGTTTCTCTCTTTATAAACTTATTCTAAAATAATTAAAAAATAATTTTAAAAAATAACAAATTTTAAAACCTTTCGAAAAAAAATAATTTAAAAATAAAAAATAATTTAAAATTTTTAATTAATAAATAAATAAATTTTAAAAAAATAAAAAATTACTATTATATTGTATTTATAGCAGTATGAAAAAATAATTACATCATGAGAAAAAGAACAAAAAAATGTGAAATTGACCTTTTGAACTGGATTCAATTCACACCCATGGATGTGAACTCTTGACTTTCATTATACAGATGATGATGCCATAAATCGGTGGGTGTATATTAGTTCTCAGCCACAAAAGCTCAATAATCATTAATTATTAATTAAAATGCATGAAGAAATCTTGGAATGGATTATAATCGTTACATTAAATTATTGACAAAAATAGTAGATAAACTACAGTAGAATATAAAAAGATGTAAACTTTTAAATTAAATTAATGCATGTTTTAGATAAGTTGTGCCATCGTCACGAATGACAAAGAACCTATTTTATCACAACCAATCTCTATTGACCTCTACATTGACCTTCCATTGTACCACCTGATTACCATTCTTACAATCATCAAGTATGCGTCATCAGAGCAATATAAAATAATATGATTTTTATTGTCCCTATGTTCTTTTTTTCTTTTTCATTTTTACCTTAAAACATTGTTTTCATCAGTAATAATGCCAAGTAACACTCCCATATAAATAATATGCTTCAATTTTCTACGGTGTGCATATTTCTCTCAAAAGAATGGATCGGCCAATGTGAAAATAGAGAAATTTTAATTATTTATCACTTTTTCTCAAAGTAAAGAATATATAGATTACAATGTATTGTTTGAAAATTTTGAAGTTGAAAATATAATGTGTTGTACTTGTACCTCCCAATATTAATGCATATTACTTCCACAGTTAAGTTTTATTTTATTTTTGAAATAATTAAGTTGCGTTTTCTTAAGACACACGTGATCAATAATCAAATATATAATATATATTAAATCATGTTAACATTTAATAAAAAAAAATTTTAAAATTTAAAAATAAAAATAAAATAGAAAATAATAGTTAATGAGTTAGCGGGTCATAACGGGTTGACCCTGCCTATATTCAACCTGTCCACAGAACTGGTTGAATATGGGTCTTGACTCATATTGACCCGTCCATTTTTAACTCAATCTAAATCTGATCCAACCCGCCCATTTGTCACCCTTAATTTCAAACTGAATATTCAAAATTTAAAATGACAAGTTAGTAATTTTTTAAATAGACAATGCATGTCATATATGTCCCTTTAAAAATTACTATTCTCCATAAATAACACTTAAATTGGAATAGAGGAGTAAACATATATCATAAATTTATCGACAAAAGTGTTTATCACATCGGTGTGACCTTTAGGACCCACTAGTTTGTTATAGTGACAGAACTGTTTTCTATGTGTGTGTCTTCGTAATAATATTTTTTGCATTTTAATGTTTGTTGTCATATTTTTATTACTCAAAAATTTAAAAGGGTCGTGAGCTATGTGAAAATGCTGTTTGAAGTGAGCTATGTGAAAATGCTGTTGAAGTGCTTCCGAATTCTTATAGAAGTGTCCGAAGGGTTGGTTTTTTGCCTAAATCAAATTTTACTTTTAAAAAAAACTACACAATTGTTCCAGAACTTTTTGAAAATTTCTTCGATTTATGGGTAAAGTGCAAAAAATACCCCTTAAACTATTGGCCTTTTTGCAATTAAACCCCTTGGGACTACTAAAATGGCAAAAAACCACCTGAACTTGGCACTTTGGTTGCAATTTGCCCAGTCTGAGACCGGCTGATGAATTTTGAACTCATGCCACGTGACAATTCAAATTTAATTAAATGACCATACAAACCTTGTGAAAGGTTAAAAAACAATATTGCCCTTCTATTACTGTTGGACCCAGTACCAATCCAAACAAGCCCTAGCCTTATCCCTTGCCCTAGCGTTTATATATATCTTCCCCAAAATCTCTCTGTCTCATATTCCTCATCTGGCTCAACTAAAGAATTGAACTCTATCTACCTCTCTCTATAGTTATCTCTATTTGTCAGTTTATATATATACACAAGAGCAGAAAGCATCCCTAAAATATACTTCGCGTGACACTTTTACCCCTTATTTGAAAAAGTGTGCAAAAAGTACCCCTAATCTTTTCACATTGTACAAAAATATCCCATCTGACATAAATTAGTACTGTAATACTCGTTTTATCCTTTTACTTTTCTGAAAATGTCCAAGGGAATATATATGCTACTAATATCATAGTATAGGGGTATTATGTGCATGTTATTTTATTTTTATTTTATTTTTTTTGAAACTTTTTATTTTATATACATCTCTACACAATTTTATTATATATATATATATATATATATATATATATATATATATATTTATATTTAACTTTGAGCATTTGTAGAATAAGGATTTGAATTTTTTGAGATTTCAGTTTACTCTTTTCTACTAAATTTTTTATTTTATTTTATTTTATTTTTTCCGTACCAACACTGTTAAACAAATAACAATAATAATAATAATAATCCCAATATTAGTGCGCACTGGTTTTGGAGTTTGGAAATTTTTTGTTTTCTTTAGTCTACACTTTATTTTTGTTTTTTATTTTTTATTTTCATCTTTACTTTTCTTTTATACTTTTATTTTTATCTTTATTTGTCAATTGTCGGCGTCCTCCCATAATGTCATTTTCGATCATTTTATAAAATTATTTATTTTTATATATTTTATAAAATGGTTCAGTAAGGGTAATTTAATCAACTTATGGTTAAATTTGCTAGAGAGATCTATTTGCACCAGCTTGAAACTTTAGAGGTGTTTTTTTGCACGAGAAATGCTGGGGGCATCTTCCAATAGTGTCATTTTTTTATCATATTACAAAATTATTTATTTTTATATATTTTAGAAAATGGTTCCGTACGGGTAATTTAGTCAATTTAGTGTTTAAATTTGTCAGAGGGACTTATTTGCACAAAATTAAAACTTTAAGGGTGTTTTCTTGCATGTGAATGATGTGATATGCATTGTAAGTATACTTTAGGGATGTTTTCTGCACTTGACCAATATATATATATATATATATATATATATATATATATATATTTAATATTTGGGTTGAGTTTTGAAGGGATGTCGAACAGACTCGTTTTGCCCTTTTACTATTTCGAAAATGTCCAAGGAAATATATATGCTACTAATATCATAGTATAGGAGTGTTATGTGTACGTTATCTTATTTTTATTTTATTTTTTTTGAAACTTTTCTTTATATATATATCTCTACATAAATTTATTTTATTTTATTTATTTATTTTTTTAACTTTGAGAATTTGTCGAATAAAGATTTGAATTTTTTGAGATTTTAGTTTACTCTTTTCTACTAAATTTTTTATTTTATTTTTTTTCGTACCGACACTGTTAAAAAAAAAATAATAATAATAATAATAAATCCCAATATTAGTGTGCACTGGTTTTAGAGTTTGGAAAAATTTTGTGTTCTTTAGTTTATAATTTATTTTTGTTTTTTATTTTTTATTTTCATCTTTACTCTTTTTTTTTATTTTTTATTTTTATCTTTATTTGTCAATTGTCAGCGTCCTCCAATAACGTCATTTTCAATCATTTTATAAAATTATTTATTTTTATATATTTTATAAAATGGTTCAGTAAAGGTAATTTAATCAATTTAGAGTTAAATTTGTTAGAGGGACTTATTGCACCAAATTGAAACTTTAGGGGTATTTTTTTGCATGTGAAGGATGTGATATGCATTGTAAGCATACTTTAGGGGTGTTTTCTGCACTTGACCCTATATATATATTCAATATTTAGGTTGAGTTTTGAATGGATGTCGTCGGACTGATTGGGCTAAGTTTCGAAGGGATGTCTAATTGATAAGGATTGAGAACCAATTTGTCCGACGACATCTCTTCAAAACTCAACCCAAAAATTGAATACATATATATATATGGGATGTCGATTGAGAACCAAATCAGATAAAAAAATAAATTAATTCTCTTTCCATCTAAGTAACATTACAATTTCCTCTCCTCTTCTTCAATTCGAAGGGTGATGAAACCGAACCTTGACAAATACATACTCCATCATATTTGAAACCAACTTTTTTTTTTTTCAATTGGTACTTACATATGCATGTCTCCATCGAGGTTCGAATTCCTTACCTTCTTTTGAAAAATAGGAGTCTGGTATCGCTAGGCCATTGACCCGTTGATAAACACATGTTTGGATGAATCCAATTAAGGCGCAAGATAAGGTTATAAGCCGTGAAAGAGAATAATATGTGTGTGCGCCTTATGGGGTTTTGAAAAGAAAATAAAAAATAAAAAAAATAAAGTTGATGAGTTGTCGCATGTTGATTGGCTATTAAGATTTCTTATCCCCATATCCATCCACTTAATTGGTAATTGATGAAACTACGTGGTTTTATTGAAGGGCAAAATGTCTTTAGCAATTTCCGGCTATGAAAGTTGATCGGAAAAGTCTTCTTTATCCTTAAATGCAACAATTTCATAGTGTATTGGGGCAATTTGTACTTCAAGGATGTTATTTGTGGTTAATAGTTGAGGTTTTTTTATTTTTTATTTTTTTATTTTTATTTTTTGTACTTCCCTTGGTTTAAAGACATTCTTATAACGCCCTTTGAAATTATGCGAAAGATTGAGAAGTCTCAAAATCAGCCAAGTTTTGACACTAATTGAAGTAGTCGTAGTTTGGTATGCTTTCTAACACGTTGGCAGGACTATTTATTTTCAGATTATTTATTCTTTAAAAATCTCAGAGTTTTCTTCTTTTTTATTCCGAAGACATACTCACAATTTTTGGTGTCACCTTAAGGAGATTTTTTAGTCAAGTTTAGGTTCTTAAATATTCAAGGTAAAGACCCAAAAACTTGAACTATTAAGTAGTAATACATTATTCAAAATGAGTCGTGTTAACAATCAACATATAACAAATAATGGAGGTGAAAATTAAACAAATGACCAAGTCATCTAAAAGCAAGTAGGGTGATTTTAATTAAAAATTATTAACTATGATCTATATTAATATACTGTAGTAAATATTAAAAGACCACTTCTAAATTTATTGAATTAGATCTCAAATTATATTGAGTCAATTTTGGTTCATTTGCAGAAGGCCCTGACAATACACACATATATATGTATATGTATATAAAGAGTTTGATAAAATAATTAGGATTTTCTCCAGTGCTCTGAATGACTTAAAAATTAAGTCTTAAATTAAGGATGTTAACACATTACGCCGAGAATGTAATACTGAAGGAATATATTTATATTGAGTTGCAACAATGTGACATCTTTTTCTCCTTACATCTTCAATTTAATGGTGTTGTATGATATTGCACTTTTGATTCATTCGTAGACAAAATCCAATACACAAAGGTGTATTGATATGATCCGAATTTGTTGATTTTGGTTTAACTAGTAGATCAACTATAAGTATTTAAAATTACAATCACTTTGATTTTTGTAGAGACCAGACAATTTCATATAAAATTACAAAGTTCCAATTAACTCCCACAATACACAACAAAGGAAAGGTGAGTTTTTCCAACACTCCAATTGAGCAAATTATAAAATCACCCAGGCACAAATAAGTTGGCGTATCTTAAGAGAGTTCATGGGTAGGGACTGAAAGAGAATTTCATTCTTGTAATATAAATTCCATAAAATGCAGAATGAATAACATGAGATCCGTTGTAGCCCATTGGAAATTTTAGCATTTTTGAAATCCCGTGTTCAAATCACAGCAGCGGAAATATTTTCCAATTTCCTTTTTCTATTTGGTAATGAGCCATAAATGATTTATCTTTTTGTGAAAAATAAAATAAAGAGCAGACAGTAATGACATTTACTTTAATAATTGTGAAAAAGGGTTTAACATGGGCTTAGCAATTCTAGCAATGCATTGCTAATTTGTAAGTTTTGGGTGTAATCCAAAAAAATAAAAGATATCATTAACCTAAGTTAAATATGAAGTTTGTATTTGTTTCTTCTAAGATTAAATTTAATCAGCAATAATGTCAATGCTAAAATAATTCGGCAGTTTTACTTTTTAAAACACTTTTTTTTTTCCCTCTTATTTGTTAATAGACTTTATAAATGCCAAAATGCAATAGATATAAAAAGATATAAAACAATATAAACTATTAAATGAAGAGATTAGCAGCCTCAAATCGCTTTACATTTCACTAGCATTTAGAAAGTGAAACTTATCTAGTTATTAAAGTTATATATATATATATATATAGAAGAAGTCAGTGATTAGTTGCTCATATGCTGATGTAAATATGAGCTATATGAATCATCATCAAATTTATTGCATAATCAAAATCATACCAAGAGCAACACTAGATGAGTGACCAGGGATCATGGAGGCTACCTGAAAAAATAACTTTTTTTCCCCCCCCTTTTCTATGCCAATCTCTAAACTTGATCTAGAATTTAGGGCTCGTTGAGATCTCACTATTTTTCTTTTCTCTTCGGGTTTAACGGAAGTTGGGGTGTCATAAATCCGATCATTTTGTATCTCTTCTTTTATTTGGAAGCACTGATGGCAAACTTGTTACTGGGGTCAGTGACAGACTCAAAATTTTTTTTTTTTTTTGGGGGGGGAAGTTGGGGGGTCCTTTAAATTGTGGGGGCAAATTTATATGGTGGGTCTATTTTTGTAATTTAATGGGTTTTCTTCATAAATTTTCAAAAATTTAAAGTATAAAATGTATTAAAATATATATATGTAGTGGGAGCGAAATGTAATTTTAATGAAGGCATCTTCATAAATTCTTAAACATTTGAAGTATAAAACGTAAAGAAAAAATAAAAAATCCAGTGAGGCGAATTGTAATTTTAGTGGGGGTATCTTCATAAATTTAAAAAAATTTGAATTATAAAATAAAAATATAAAAAATCTAGTTGGGTCCGTGCCTACGGGATGTCCTTCTCTCTTCAATCAATTAGGATGAAACACACCTTTAATTTTTATTCAATAAGAGTTTCTGTGCTCAAACTATATAACTGAATATCTTACAGGGAGTTTCTGTGCTCAAACTATATATATAAAGCATCAACTTCAGGTTTTTAGACTTCCTTTCAATCACATTCCTATAAAATGTGATAACACAAGTGCTATAAACATTTCCAAAAATCCTATTCAGCATTGACAAACTAAGCACATTTACTTTGAGAATACAAAACTTGTGAAATATGTTAAGTTGAATTAACAGTGTTGTATGGTACAATATTTTAAATTTATTTGTATATAAAATGTATACAAATGTGTACCGATAGAATCGGATTCTTTGATTTTGGAGGCGAATAGGAAATGTTTTTGTTTTTCTGTTTCAACTTTTTTTTTTCAAATTTGGGCCGTGGTAGAGCTTGACACAGTTTGTGCACCAGGCCACCTAATTATTGGGCTAGGACTTTCATACCATTGTCGATTTGGGCTTAATTCCCTAAACCTCAAGTTGTAAAGCTGAACAACTAGGGTTAGGGCACACGGTTCCTCATTCAAACACTCTCAGAACCTGAGTGTGTGATAGAGAGAGAAAATCGAATCACTGTAAATCTACGAAGCTCCACACTTTACAGCAAGAAGTACTCATCTCTACACTCTTCGCTTTGATTGATAGCATATCATATGTGTATGTATCTTCAAGAAATGAGGACTATTTATATCTGCAAAAGTCTCATCTCACTTTCTCTGAAGAATTCTTCACATCTCAACAAAACCCCAATCTCTATTTTCTCTCTCCTCTTCTTCTCTTCCTCTCCAAAAAGCCCCAATCCGGTAGCTGATTACTTGATTGAGAGACACAAATTTTCTCCTGAAACTGCTTCGAAAGTCTCTTCCTCTCCAAGAAGCCCCAATTTGAAAAGGCCTGAAAAGATCGATTCGATTCTGTCATTTCTCCAGGAAAGTGGTTTTTCGGATACCAATCTCGAGCGTGTCATCAAACACGCGCCTCAACTTCTCTCTGCAAATCTTGAGCTTTCCATCAAACCCAAATTCAAGTTTTTTCAAGACTTGGGTATTTATTCTAGCGATATTGTGCAAATTGTTTCGTCTGACCCTCTGATTCTAACTCGTAGCGTTGATAATCAGCTTGGCCCATTGATTTTAACATTGAAGAGTCTTTTGGGTTCAAATATGGATGATGTGTCTAGGGTTTTGAAGAAATCTGGACGGTTTTTGAGGTGTGATTTGGCGAAAACTATGATACCCAATATTGAATTTCTGAAGAGCTGTGGCATTAGTTCGTCGCAAATAACTCAATGTGTCTATAACACCCCAACATTTTTCACGAATAGACCGACGAGAGTTAGAGAACTAGTCAGGAGGGTTGATGAGCTGGGCTTTGACAGGAACTCTAAGATGTTTCTTCCTGCGATTCGGGCTATTAGTTCTATGACTATAGAGAATTGGGAGTTGAAATTGGAGGTCTTTAAGAGTTTGGGATTTTCGGAAGATGACATTTTGTCAATTTTTAGGAGACAACCTCAGTTATTTTCTCTGTCGGTGAGGAAAATTAAGGCAACAACACAGCTTTTACTTAGCTCAGGCAAATGTGATATCTCATATGTTGTTAAAAACCCAGACTTACTTGGTCGCAGTATTGAGAATAGGCTTAAGCCACGGCTAAGAGTTCTGGAGGTTTTGGAAAGCAGGAATTTGCTTCTTAAAAAGCCGAGTTTGGGGCATGTATGCAAGATCACTGATAAGAAGTTCTTTGAGAAATATGTACTCCCTTATTCAGATGAAGTTGGTGAATTATTCGTGGTTAACAAGGCGTCATTGCAAGCAGAAATATGTGCTTAAGATCATGGCATCGTTTGTGATTTCATGATTTAATACCTAGAGGCAGGCTGAGACTGAATCTTTTTTCCAAAGGACTTTGCGGCATAACATGGCAGGTAAGTAGGTACTAGGTATTCATTACTTTTTTTTTTTTTTGTATCCATATAGTGTACTACTTTGAAAAACATGGATTAATTTTCCACCTGGCTGTCTCATTTCAAATGAGTTTAATTGAACATTTTCTTTTGTTTCCATGTTTTCAATTGAATAACTCATGCATGTCAGTGCCCCGAAATGAAGTTGTCTAAATTCTGTAGGTGCTTCTTCCAATAGTGAATTTGGAATTCGATTCACTGAGTACTTCTTAATTGTCCTTTCGCAGATCTGATTTGGCTTCTTTTTTTCTTTTGCTTCCTAAATTCCTACAAATTCCTCATCTTTAGGAACTTCTGAGATGATTCGGGTTTAGTTTGTGGAACTCTGTTACCCTCTTGAGACTGGATTGACAAGAGATTAAGCACTAATGTATAGAAGTTCGTGAATTATACATGGTTAACAAGGGGTCATTGGTAGGAGCAACAGTGTGTGTGTGTATGTGTGTTTTCAATGTGTGTGCCTTCATAATAATATTTTATGAATTTTAATGTTTCCTCTCATGTTTTTGTAACTCAGAAATTTAAAAGGGTCATGAGCTATGTCAAAATGCCGTTTTAGCGCTTTTGAATTCTTATTTAAGTGTCCAAAGAGCTGGTTTTTACCAAAATCATACGTATTTTACTAGAAAACTTGATAATTGTTCTATAACTCTTTGGAATTTTTTTCCATTGGGTTAAGGAAATTTGCATTCTTATAATGGCCCTTTGAAATTATGCAAAAGACTGAAAACGCTCAATAATTGAAGAGACCATAGTTTGGTATGCTTGGGAGAACCTTTTACAATATTTATTTTTCAAAAATCCGGAGTTTTCTTTTGTCATTTGTGCTTTTCTGTTTCTAAGACAAACATTGTTCGGTGTCACCTTAAGGTGATTTTTTTTAGTCAAGTTGAGGATCTTATTAAATATCTCGGGTGAAGGCTTGGTGTTACTCAAAAGCTTAAACCGTTCCATAGTGTTGCATACCCAGCCACACATATCTAATTGGTTATGAGCTCCTCTTAACACATATCCATAACCATATTATGCAGAGATATGGGCAGGGGAGAGGACCCATTAACTGCTGCCAGTTGGTTGTCATATCAAATCTTGGCCAAGTATAATAATAAATAAACACAAATAAATTTAGTTGGCATATATTTTTACTCTTCTTGTGAATAATTTTCTATTTTTAGAGAACTTAAAAGAAAAAAAGCAAAATTTTAAAAATATTTTTCTAAATTTGAGAACTAACTTGTGATGATATGCAAAGCATTTATCTTATTAGATTTCAAGTTAAATATCAATGAAGAGATTAGATTAGCAGGCTCTAACCCCAATATATGTCACTAGCATTTAGAAAGATTAACTTGTCCAATTATTAAAGTTCTATAAAAAAAAGATCTGAAACAATGTAATGAGCACTTACCGACTGGATTTGAACTTGATTCGCCATTGATATTAAGGGAATCAAAGGTCATTGATTAATTGCTCATGTAAATATGAGATATATGAATTATCATCAAATTTATTGCATAATCGAAATCTACCAAGAGCAACACTAGAAGGAGCCCTGGGGTCGTGGAGCATGGAAAAAGAAATTTTTTATTTTATTTTTTTATTTTATTTTCTCTACCTTTGGACGATTGAATAATCATCGAATACGAGAACACTCTTGGCTTTAAACTCTGGTAAACACTTTCTTCTTTGACCTTGAATACTAATGAATGTTCACATCTGTGACCATGACCCCAACAGTAGGTTTGTGGAACCTTAACCTTCTCTCTCACTCTTTGTATTATGTATCGTGTACTATTATGTGTCGTAGTGTCAAAGGATAAATGACATGAGAGTTAGATGAAGATCCAAAATGACTTTCTTATCCTAGCTCCAATTGGATAGAGACAGAGTTATCTCATAATTCTATCAAATCTAATTAATTATAATAAGTACCACAATAGTATTGTAATTGTACTCTAAGATTTAGAAATTACGTCAAGGCCATGTTCTACTAAATAATTACATATAAGCCCCTCCACTATCGGATATCCATAAGTAGCCCCAAGAAAAATAATACTGTCCCACCTAAGGCATACTTAGTTATATTTCTCGAGTAACCAATTTAATCATTATGATCACTGAATTAAATTCTTTTATAAAAGAATTTTTCAAAATAAATAATAAAAAAATAATTTAGTAAACATTTTGCTAAAACGCCCTGGCCAGGTTTCAGTGATCAAACTTATTAAATTGCATGAAAGGGGATATTCCAACTCTTATAGAGTATGGATTCCATGTTGAGCATTTGTGTACCCACAGTTCCAACATTAGTCACCCAAGATAGTTATGTATTGATTTTAAAAGATCTCAAACATTGGTAAGTCAAAGTGACCAATACTGAAACTTAAGTTCAAAACCTCAGAGGATTTAGAGCTTAACGTATCTAGTAGATAAGAATCACACCAAAATAATGACAATAATTTGTATGGTGTGATCTTATGGTGATCTAGTTCAGTGTACTCCAAGCACATTAATACTCTAACTTCAAGTCAACTACTCAAATAGTCGAGACAAACTATCATATCTCATAATGGTTTAAGTGTGTTACAATTTTACAGATTAAAAGGTTCAACTTTTATCACCGACTACGAACGATGCCAAGATGCAAGAAATCGGTGAGCTTAAATCTCTTGTGCGTAAATCTCATTCACACCTATAATGCAATTTGAGGACTATGATGCATCTCATGCAAATATACGTAAAACCCAATACATGAATATTCCAATACATGAATATTATATTTACTAATAAATCACATTTATTAACAAAATATCAAATACTAAAAATAAATAATTGACTATTAAGGCACATAATCCAACAACTAAGACTCAAATTTACTAGGACAAAAGTACACCAGTGAAAAACCCAACAGTATTATTGATCAAAGTTTGTAAATTAAGTTCATAATACTAATATTATTAATGATACAAAAAAGATGCACATACACATGCTCTCTTATAGAGAAAGATGCTAAGGACCAATTTGGTTTTGAGAATAGTTTTGAAAATCGGAAAACTGTATTTTATCAAAAATAAAAAGATTACAAAACAGTGCAAAAACTTGTTTGCTTCTTGTACCATAGGATAGATGGCTCAATATTGAATTTTTGAAGAGCTGTGGCATTAGTTCGTCGCAAATAACTCGACCCCAACATTTTTCACAAATAAACTGACGAAAGTTAGAGAATTAGTCAAGACGGTTGATGAGATTGGCTTTGACAGGAACTCTAAGATGTTTCTTCCTGCGATTCGGGCTATTAGTTCTATGACTGTAGAGAATTGGGAGTTGAAATTGGAGGTCTTTAAGAGTTTGGGGTTTTCGGAAGATGACATTTTGTCAGTTTTTAGGAAACAGCCTCAGTTATTTGGTCTATCAGATAGGAAAATTAAGGAGACAACACAGCTTTTGCTTAGCACGGGCAAATGTGATATCTCATATGTTGTTAATTACCCAGACTTACTTTGTTACAGTGTTGAGAATAGGCTTAAGCCACGGCTAAGAGTTCTGGAGGTTTTGGAAAGCAGGAATTTACTTCTTAAAAAGCCTAGTTTGGGGACTGTATGATCACTGATAAGAAGTTTTTTTGAGAAATATGTACTCCCATATTCAAATGAAGTAGGCGAATTATTTGTGTTTAAGAAGGCCTCATCGAAAGCAGAAATATGTGCTTAAGATCCTGAGATCCTTTGGGACTTCATGATTGAATCTTTATTTCGAAAAGCAAATGACTTGGGGGCATAGCATGGCAGGTAAGTAAGTACTCTTTTGGGCTAGATATTCGTAAGTTTTCTTTCTTGTACCATATGGTGTACTACTCTGAAAAACATGGCTTAGCTTGTCCGTTTAGTAGATCCATATGGTGGAGTACTCTGAAAAACATGGATTAAGTTCTTCTTTGAGAAATATGTACTCCCTTATTCAAACGAAGTTTGCGAATTATTTGTGACTTGAATACCTAGAGGCAGGCTGAGACTGAATCTTTTTCCGAAAAGCAAATTACTTGGCGGCATATCATGGCAGGCAAATAGGTACTCTTTTGCTTTAGATATTCATAATTTTTCTTTCTTGTATCCATATGGTGTACTAATCTGAAAAACATGGATTAATTTTTGTTTAGTAGATTCATTTTTTGTTTCTTGTTCCTTTCTTGCCTTGTTGATTGTTCTGCTTTCTAGTTGTATCTATTTTATCACTATTATGTTATGAAATTTATTTACTCCACTGAAAGTAAAAATATTAATGTTTTATTGCAACCCCAAGTTGCTTCATTTTGCGTGTATGGAGCTAATAAATTTCATGCCACTCAGAAGAATTGTAAATTATGAACTGGTCCAAATTTACAAAGTAGAGCCCTCTAATTTCAAACATTGGATACTACTGGCCTTTTTGCAATTAACCCCCCGGACTATGAAAATGGCAAAAAACCATCTGAACTTGGCACTTTGGTTGCAATTTGCCTAGTCTGAGATCGCCCAATGAATTTTGAACACATGCCACGTGACAATTCAAATTTAATTAAATGACCATACAAACTTTGTGAAAGGTTAAAAAACAATGGTGCCCTTCTATTACTGTTGGACCCAGTACCCATCCAAACAAGCCTTAGCCCTATCCCTTGCCCTAGCGTTTATATATATCTTCCCCAAAATCTGTGTGTCTCATATTCCTCCTCATTTGGCTCAACTAAAGAATCCAACTCTATTTACGTCTCTATAGTTATCTCTATTTGTCAGTCTATATATATATACATATATATAAGTGCAGAAAATATTCCTAAAGTATACTTCGCGTAACACTTTTATCTCCTTATTTAAAAAGTGTGTGCAAAAAGTACTCTTAATCTTTTTACATTGTGCAAAAATACCCCATCTGACATAAATTAGTACTGTAATACTCGTTTTGCCCTTTTACTTTTCCGAAAATGTCTAAGGAAATACATATGCTACTAATATCATAATGTAGGAGGGTTATGTGCACATTATCTTATTTTTATTTTATTTATTTTGAAACTTTTTTCTTTATATATATCTCTAAACAACTTATTTTCTTTAATTTTTT